CGAAGGAACTTTGCCTGCGCGCTTGGTGGGCGCGGACCCCGACGCCGCCGGTCCCGGCCCATCCAAGCCGCCCGCCGAGGCTATGGCCGTACTGGCCTGGCTGCTGCCTCCGCTCCTGCTGCTCTGCGCGCAGCAGCACCGCGGCACCAGGTGAGAGAGCGCACGCCGCGCAGGGTGGGCACGGAGGAGCTTGGTCGGGGCGGGAAGCACCCCCAGCCTAGGAGGCGCCCTCGGGCCTTGCTCCAGCCGGCCGAGGCCAAGCTGCTGGGAACCTCCAGAGCTTGGGCGCAAACTGCGGGAACCTGGACCCCCTACTCTGGTTTCCGCTAGCGTAACCCCCTCTTCCCAAGTCCTCTTGACGCGCTGGACGAGGCGACCCACAGGCTGACCACCCCCGCGGCGCCAAGTCGCTGTCCACTGTCCCAGTACTGAACGCGGACGCTGCAGGGAGAGAAGGACGTCGGAGAGGCTTTGGGGCCGCTCCCGGTTCTCACCTGGCCCAAGACGCGCGGCTCCGTCCCTGTTCTGGCCGCGTCCCTGCCCTGGCTGGTGCCCTTCCAGGCGCGGAGCTGAGCGCGCAGCGTGGCGCGAGCTGGAGGCAGGAAGAAAGGATCATGAGAACACGGGGGAGGCTGCTCCCTCTCGGATGGGAGCCGAGCGACACAAATGCGCTTCCACGGCAGCCTGCGAGCCTGGGATTAGACCCAGGAAAGCATATCCTGACGGCTGGGCATGATTGTTAGAGGGTGCTGGGCTCAGGATGGCAGGTCCTCTTAAGGACATTTCAGGTGGCACAGAGAAGCGTCCACAAGTAAACGAATGGGAAGCCAACCAGGTGCCCTGCAAAGGAGAGGGGAGACCCTGGCTCCTGAGAGAAGGAAGAGGCTGCAGAGAAAGGATTGGGGGAATTGCGTGCTGCCTCTCTGCATCCTTATACTCCACCTCCAGTTACTGACAAGGTCCCATCACATCTCTCCTCTCTGACGACCTGAAATGGGCTCTTAGGTTGCTCTCCTGTCCAGGTTTATCCTGGAGTCCAGGCACCAGAATGAGAGCAGTGAAGGTTAGCAAGGAGCCTTTTGGAAACTATCTTAATGTCGGTGCAACGAAAAACACGGAGCAATGACATGCCTCCCAGCTTCCCAGACCTTGTGGTCAATCAGATGGTGGACAGCTAAGACTAGAAACGTAATCATTGTGCATCACCCTGGGTTTTGACTGCAGATATTCACTTGGCATATTGTGGGAAGGGGCAGTATTCTCTCCCTCTCTGAAAGTCCACTGGGCTGGCTGCAGCCCTGCTCATGGACTGAAACCCTAGACACAGCACTGCCCAGGAGCTTGTGAGCAGCAGCCCTGTTTTCAGAAGAGCTTGGCTCTTATGAACTCTGGGCGCTCTTCCTTTCTTTTTGTTACTTTAAGGCCCTGGGGAAGGACACAGACACTGAGGTGTGGGATATGCAGAGATGCTGGTAGAGCAGCTGAGGTCAGCTGTCAGCTCAGCTCAGCTCAGGGTACCTTAGCCAGATTCCTAAACCCAAGCAGCATTGAGACCCCAGAGTTCTAGCCGAAGTTTGGCACTAAGAAGCTCATTTGAATCAAAACCTACCCTGAACTCAGATGAGACTGTTCATCTTATGTCTGGTAACCATACATTTCCTGCTGCAGAATGATCCAGAACCCCAGCATCACCTGTTTGCCATGTCACCTTTTGAAAATCTGAATCCTGGGCTCTCGCTGGGTCTGGAAGGATGGGCAGGAGTTGTGTTTCTATTTGCTAGTTCAGAACATCTGGAGACCGTAGAGCAGGCCACCGTTAGTCCCTGTGGGGAATGTGCCATGGAGGGAAGTATCTTGGGTGGGGATAGATGCTTCAGTAGCCCTGGGGCTGCTAAATTCCCACCTCCTGCTTGAACAGCTCTCATCCTTCTACACTTTTAAGACTATCATTTGTGATGATTCTTGTTGATGCACACATAATGAGCTCTGACCCAGGGAGCTAGGCTAACTTCCTGCACATGACTTGTGCCAGCAGTTCCATGGATAGCACAGGCCTGAGGAACAGCCCTGGAAGGCTGGTGGCTTGGCCTGGTGCTGTCTCATCACCTGTGGGTCCTTCCACTCCAGGACCCAGAGGGAAGCCACCACCCTTCCTTCAACCTCTGAGTCCTCATTCCTGAGGTGATCTTGCTTTGTCATTGGGCAGACTATGAGACAATTAAAACCTCCTTCTGAAAAAGGAAGCCCTGCTCCAGCCTCCTCCTTAGCCCAGATTCGAGTGGGCCCTGGTGGAAAGGACTTCGTGGAACTAAGAAGGGACTGCGCCATAAAGTGCAGGCACACTTTAAGGCAGGACTGTGCTTCACAGAGTTTGCCGGTCCCCCAGAGCCACCTTCCTGTCACTCTGAAGGTCTGTATGCACTGGGGGACAGGCTGCCAGCTTTGTGCCTGAGTGGAGTCTCCCAGGCTGCTGGCAGTTTATTTCCCCAGAGTTGCTGAGACTGCGGCCCCTGCCCCACAGTGGGCTACACACCGCACTGCTGCAGTTCCCACTTTGCCTTGGCAACTAAGATGCGGGAGCAGCTTGAGCTGCTGTTCGTGTACCTGTCAGGAATCTGTGGGCTGTGTGTGGACTGTGTGTGAGGCTCCTGCTGGGGGTGGGGTGGGGGTGCTGCCTCATTTAGCTGCCTCTGCCTTCACTGTCGGCCTCTGGGGTGGCTCTTTTCTCCCTGAGGTCAGGAGTGGGAGGGCACTGTGATGCCCACACGACACTGTGGACTGTGGCTTAACCTGTCCCAGGAATTTGAACACTTGAACTCATACTTTTTTCCTTCATGAAGGACACCTCAATCCTAGGCCACAGTTCTTGAGCCATCGGATGAGATCACTGCCCTTGCCAGGCTCCTTGCATGAGGAACCTGTACACTTTTCTACCCACAGCCATTAACTCTGTCACCCTGTCCATCTCAAGCCAGGAGAGAAAAGGAGGGCCCTTCAGAATCCAGAGTTGTGCACACAGCACATTCCCTGATGTCCTCACCCTTCCCTCCTGTTCCCAGCCAGAAAAAACCCTATCCCTTGTCCTAGGTGAGGAGACGTATCATAGGAGGGGTATGCTTCCCTTCTCAGCTGGCTCCCCTACATCGCTAGAGACCGTGAGGGTTGAGGAGGCAGTTAGCATTCTACTCTTTCAAGGGCTGGCTCATGGCGCACGCGCATGTGTGTGTGTGTGTGTGTGTGTGTGTGTGTGTGTGTCTGTGGGTAGGCTAGCTGTGGGCTTGCTTCCACACCCCTGAGCAGGACAGGGCCTGGGCAGGGGGAAAGATGTGTCTGCATGTACCCGCAGGGCTATCCCGGATGGTAAGAGATGAGCCCAGGAAGGACAGCAGCATCCAGGCCACCACTACGGATGCAAGATGGCAACTTGGCTGATCTGAAAGAAAGCTAATTTAAATCCCTTTACACTTGACCTTGAGGGTGACCTCATTTGCCTTTTTAATTGTGCTTCAATTGGAACTGCAACTAAATTAATTCCCTTTGATGCTTTGTTACTGAAGTGCCTGCCCTGCCCACAGCCATGCACCAGGCTTCTCACTGGGAGGGACCAGAGGACTGTGGTGTCTGCCCTTTTGGAATTGACCACAGACCTGAAGGCCTTGTCCAAAGTCAGTCCTTTTGATCATGGTGACGTGCCAAAGTGGCCATGCTGGGTCGATGAGCGCTCTTCAAAGTTCCCTTAACTAGGACACTTTTGCCTGGTGGCATACCAGCTAAATATTTGGCTGCTAACCCCAAGGTTCCATGGGAGAAAGAGCTGCTGATCTCTTTCTATAATGCTTACAGCCTAGAAAATTCTATGGGCTATTCTCCTCTGCCGCATGGGGTCGCTAGGAGTTGGAATCAACTTGACAATATGCAACACACACTTGGAGCTCAAATGAAACCCTCTTTAACATCCAGATATGGACAGACACAAGGAGGGCATCTCTGACTGAAAGGGAATGGGGTCGGAGAGCCGTACCTGCTCTGCCCCCTGAAAGGGCTTCTAGAATCCTCCGGGACAGTACAATATAAAAGACCATAAGATCTATGTGGGGACGCCTGCATTGTCTGACCTCTAATTTAAGAGGGGGAAGCATCAGCGTCATTTAGCCCAAAGCTGATTTCTGCAAGGTGGAGGTCAGATATACTTCCACCCTCCAGAATTTTGTACCAATTCCAACACCAACCATCTTTCCCATGACACTCTCT